AAACCAACACCCCCAGAGCGAGAACCCCCTCCAGCACCAGCGGCACCCCCAGGCCCGCCGGGAAAGACCACGCCAGGAGCCGCAGGACGAACACCCTCCTCAACGCCAGCACCCCAAAAGGCCAAGAGTGGCAGCGGCGGCGGCGGCGGCAGCGGCGGCAGCCGCGGCGGCGGCGACTGCGATAGCGGAGGCGGAGACACCGGGGAAGGGGGACGCGACAAGGACGGGCCGGGGGCACCACCAGAGTCAGCAGACTCCTCAACAGGGACAACCGACGGGAGGGGAGTGACATGGGAGACACCAGAAGGGGCAGGACGAGGCGGGAGGGGATGAGGGGCTACCGGGGGAGAGGGAGCAAGGAACAGAGGGGGGGGGGAACTGGGACACCTCAGTGAGGGAAGCGACAGTAGAAGGAGACAGACTCGTCAAAGGTGACGTCACGAGAGTGGAGAAAACGGTGAGACTGCGGGTGGTAGAAGAGCCAATCAAACGAGTCCAGGGGGAAACCGAGGAAGACACATGGGACAGTGCGGGCAGTGAGCTTGTCTGTGCCAGAGGCACGAACGTGAGCAAGGCAACCCCAGACGTGGAATGTAGACGCGTCACCGGGGGACCCGGTCCAAAGGAGGGTCGGCGAAACCTGCGGCCGCTGGGAGCGTGGCCACAAGTTAAGCTGGTGAGCAGCGTAGCGAACAGCGAAAGGCCACAGAAAATGGGGGGCATCGGCATGAATCATGGAGGTGCAAGCAACCTCCATGACCAAGCCGATGCGGCGCTCAGCAACCCCATTCTGCTGTGGCGAGTCCGGCAAGGTGTACGACTGGGTGATGCCCTCCGCACGACAGAACTGTCCAAGCTGACCAGAGGCGAACTCGCCGCCACGGTCAGAGTGGAGACACAACACGGGGAGACCGCGGTGAAGACGCGCAGCCACAACCCACGGGAGAAGAACGTCGGGCACGTCGGCCTTCCGCTCCAGGGGAAACACCGTGGTGTAGCGCGTATAGTCGTCGACGAGCACAAGAAAGTAGCGCTTAACGTGCGGTCCGCGGACTGGGGCTGGGCCCCAAACGTCCAGGTGCAGGGTCTGAAGGGGAGCAGTAGCAGGGCGAAGCGAGGAGGAGTGAGGGGCACGGCGGAGCCGGCCCTCGACGCAGGGCGTGCACGGTGGAGAAGTCCAAGGGGGAAGGGCGGGGAGCGACGCGGGGAGGCCTAAGACAAGACCGTGCTGGGACATGTGACGTAGACGCGGGAGAGCAGGGTGACCTAAGCGGTGGTGCCACAAAAGGGACGGGTGAGTGAGTGACCGACACGAGCAAGCTGCAGCGACTAGGGAAGACGCACCAACCGGGGGGGAAGCGTTGTCGAGAGTTAACAGACCGGACATCGAGTCCCGGGGGAATGTCGCAAGGGGGGAACCTGAGACAGCCCCGGTACAGACAGCGAACCGCTCGTGCCCAAGGAACGTAGTTGTGACGCCGAGGTCCTGAAGACAGCCGACACCAACCAGGTTCCTGGAGAACGAGGGAACGTGGAGGCCTGTAAGGAAGCCCGAGGGAACAGCTGCACAGGGAAGGGAAGTGGAGCTGCGAGCAACGACAGGACCCGCAGAGGGGTCAGCGAGAGCGACAACAGCAGGCGCAGCAAGCGGTGTGAGCGTGGAGCGGTCGCGGAAGAAACAGGCAGAAGCACCGGAGTCGAGAGTGAAGGACAGCAAGGCAGTAGCAGAGGCCGGGAACGGGGCCGGTGCAGGAACGAGGCTAGTCAAACTAGGCAGTCCTACGCCTAACGCAGCAGGGGAGGCTAAGCTACACAAGGGTGCTACACCCAAACTAGAGTACACAGGGTAATAAGATCTAGCAACACTAGAAGCGTCATCGTACAAGGCATGCAAAGCAGTACCTATCTGATCCATGTCTAACTCAAAGATCGGCACGCCCTGGCGAAGCAGGCTGTGCCAGTTAGGGAGGTCCGTGGCCGGGCCAAAGCGACGACGAAAGAGATCGTCGAGGTGGCGAAAACAGCGGGCGGTCGGGTGCGGGCGGCGGCACAGAGTGCCGCGGAGAGGCCCGGTCTGAAGCTGGTACTGGCAGGTCACACCAACGGATCTGCCGGTAGACGCCAAGCTGCGCAGGCCAGCACCACGGCCACCACCTACGGAGGTGCCGGACCAACCCGGCGAGAGGCGAGCCCACTCCGGGGGCTGAGACAGCTGCTGCGACGATTGCGACTGCTGCGACGGCTGCTGAGGCGACGGCTGCTGGGGCGACGGCTGCTGCTCCGGACTAGCTGCGGCAGTCCCCTCAGTCAAACCACTGTCCCCAGCACCACCACCACCACCAGCTCCACCACCACGCCCTCCTTGGCGGCCACGACCGGCGCGGCGCGGGCGCTGCTGCGGGTGGACTGCAGCAGCCGTCTCAGTCAGAGGGGTCGCAGTGGCGACCGCAGCCGAAACGTCAGTAAACGTACACTGGGAGGGGGCACAGCCGTGAAAGATAGAGACCGCTGGCGCACCGCTCGATTGAGCGATAGTGCGCTGGCGAGTCTCGATCTCGGTCAGGGCGGTGACAAAGGCTGGCAGGGTGAGATCACCCGGGTGCTGGCTAAGGATGTGGTCGCATGCACTAGCAAGGCGGTCAGGCAGGCGCATAGCGATAAAGTAGAGGGTCATGCGGAAGGGGGGGGGGAGCGCAATGAGCTGGGCAAGAGTGCTAGCAGTGCGGTAGCGAGACTCTTTGGCTCGCAGGTGAGTGGCAAGGTCAGCAACAATAGGGAAGGAAGCAAGGTCTTGGAAAAGCATAGGGAAGAGCAGGCGGCCTGCAACCTCTGAAGGACCTGGCGCACCAAGTGTGACTGTGTGAAAGTGATGGTGCGCGCTGCTCTGTCCCTGGAGATCTGCAGGCCAAGGTAGCGGCGCACCTCCCCTAGGCCAGTGCAGGTTCGTCTGCTCAGCAGCTCGGCCTTCACAGAGGCCAGCGCGTCTCTGTCTGTAGTAGCAAAGACCAGGTCGTCTACGTAGACAAGGATGTAGAACGGAGTTTGGCCAGCACGAACGAAGAGCTAGGGGTCTGCAAAGGACGGAAAGAACTGCAGGTAGGCTAGCGTAGCACGCAACATATTGTGCCACCCACGAGGCGCCTGCTGCAGGCCATAGACTGGGCGCCGGAGGAGCCACTGGGTCCCAGGAGGGAAGGTACCGGTGAAGCCCTGAGGACGGCGAAGGTAGACCTGCTCGTGTAGGCTACCCTGAAGAAAGGCAGTGGAGAAGTCGAGGGAGTGGAGCTCGTACTCACGCTGTGCTGTTACGTGTAGCACTGCCCGAAGAGTCGTCACCTTCGGGGTCGGGGCGAAGGTCTGAAAGAAGTCCACCCCCTCTTGCTAACTGAAGCCTCTAGCCACGTAGCGCGCCTTGAACGTAGGCGGCTCTCCAAGGGGGCGCTTCACATTGAAGAGCCACCGGCCATCGACTACGTTCACCCGAATTGGGGCAAATGCGTCGATGAAGGTGACGGTGGATCTCCAAGATGCCATCTCCTACTCCATGGCAGCTATTCACTGAGAGGCCCAGGGTCCTGAGTTCGCCTCAGCGTAAGTGCGCGGGGTAGGGATGTCAAAGGCGTCTGGGTCACCCTCAGGGACAAGCAGCATGCAACAAAGATGGGGAGCAGCCTCAGACAAGAAAGCGAGCTCGTACTGCGTGTCCTCTAGGACGTCACTGCCAAGTGCAGGAGCACCCCCGACAGACGGATGACAGACAGGGTCAGAGACCAGAGCGGTGGCGCAGTCAAGGCGTCGGGTAGAGGCGAATTCAGCAACAGCAGCGACAAGAGCGTCAAGACTTGAGACAGGAACAGACGGGTCGGTAACGAGGGAGGCAACGACCCGAGAAACAAGAGGACGAGCAGCACGAAGGTAGTTAGACAGAGGGGGAGGCGCGACAGCAAGCGATGACCGAGGAGGCGAAGGCAGCTGTGGAGGACGAGACGCGTGGGAACGAAGCAACTTTGGGTGAGAACACGGAACAGGAGAGACAGGACGAGCACGAGAGGGACGGCGAGACCGGACGTGAGACGGAGGCGTGAAACACAGGAGGAGAACGAAGAGACTGAGGGGGAGTAAGAGGAGGGGAACGAGGTGGAAAACGAGCCGAGGATGAGTCCGGCGGAGGAAACACAGGACCGTGATACCATGCCAAGATGAGCTGGATAGGAAGAGACGCCGTGAATGGCGAGAGGTTTTAGGTGCTAGGAAAATGTCGAGAGAGAAGATGTTTGGAATAGAAGAGAGAGGGATACAAGAACGGGGGTTGTTCTCTCTACAGTAGAATCCAGTAACACCTACCAAGCCTACCATTATATATAAATCAAATATATAATTTAACACACCACCTAGGCTTGGTAGTTGAAAGCCCACCACACACACAGCACACTAAGCCACACACCCCCTAGCACCCCCATACTTCAGCAACAGCGACGGCTACTCCTGCACGGTCAACCCCCACGACGCGTGAGGCGGGGCGACGTCGACAATGAGGGCATCGGCTGCAACGGCGGTGACGGCGGCAGCGTCGACATCGGCGGCGGCGTGGCCAGCGGCACCAGCTGTGGCGGCGGTGGCTTTGACAACAGCTGCCAGTGGTAGCGAAGCTCGTAGCACTCGGCAGCGTGGCCGGGCTCCGCGGCTGCGGCAAGGAAGAGGGGACGCAGGGGAAGGGGGCGGGACTTCAGCAGCGGAGCCTAGGAGCGTGCCGCCCCGTGTGGCACACTGGCTGCATGCAGGCGTGCTGGCCAGCGCTAAGACGGGGCGCTGGCCGCTGCCGTCCGCGCGCTGTCGCGTAGACGCCGCCACGGCAGCACGACGGCGCCGTCACAGCAGCACGACATGGCCGTGGCGGCAGCGCGGAAAGGACAGGAGGGAGGAGCGAAATGTGCGGAATCGTGGGGAGGCGGCTCAGCAGGGCGGATCTCCCGCTTTGATACCATGTTAGAATACAAGAATGACTAGAATAGGTGAGAACAAGGGAGATATAGGGTTGAAGTTGTACCCCCTAAGAACATACACCTATCTAGCCTGTCACTTCTACATACCGGTACAAAGATGTGTATAAATTGACACAGAGGCCTGCCACAATTGTTATCAAGTTACACTAAAAGTGTGATGATAATCGCTACTAGCGTTCTTGATTCCGAGAAATCTCACTTTCCATGCTAAGTGCTTGCTGCAAAGCTTGGCTCGCTTCACCGTTGTTAGCAGCTAGCTCAGGGTTAGATCGGGAGCTGTCACACCACTGGAGGAAGGCTGGATGCAGGTTTGGCCAATCAGAGGTTGACCATGTGAATTCATGCAGCCAAGCCACGTACACCAGCTCCTGGCTTGCAGGAGCCAGGCGAGCAATGATTGAGCAGATGTCCTCTTCCGTCCTCTGCAAATGAATTAAAGAAGAAAAACCAGAACCGGGAGCAGAAGAATCAGGCGCATGTACAATACTAGCTAAGCAGCAGAATCAGGCAAAAATGAACGTTGGGGGATTGGGGGGGGTGTAAGTACGAGGAGGAGACTAAGGGGGGAGGGAGTCTGCAAGAGTAGGACATGCGAGGGTTTTTAAGGGAAAACTTGGGAGGAATTAGTGAATTCAAGAGGGGCAAGAGAAATTCAAGGGGTGGTGAGTGGAGGGGGGTGGGGAAGAGGGGGAGGGGGAGGCTTTCACGTCATCGATTCCACACCATCCGAAAGTAGACCCACCTGTCGGTTGCTGTCAGTGGACAGTAGGCCGTCAGATGTGTTGGGACAATGACAAAGCACCGGCATCCAGTGCAGCAGCAGGTGCTCCTGCGTCTTCACGTCACACGAAACGACGCGAGACGACACCAAATCCAGGACGATACACGTCAGCTTCAAGAGATTCAGCTGCACCCGGGGGGAAGATCTCACTGCCAGCTCGGACAGCATCCGAGCCTCAGCCCAAACCTCCACCACTTCTTCAATCCCCTTCCGACCCTGAAGCTTCAGCACCAGCCATAGCAGCTCCTGAGAAAGTTTTTCCGCTTGAATGTTATCCCCACCGCTCCCGCCTGACAACCGCCGAATCTCCCCACTTGCGCCGTTTCCGCCGTTTCCGTTGATTCCGCTACCTACCCCGCCGCTTGCTGCTACGGCCACTGCAGCAGCAGCAGCCGCTCCGCGAGAAACCTGATCCAGGATTTGAGTTAGGCCGAAGGACGAGGCGGCCTGGCCGCGTTTCAGGGAGCCCTCGAGGCGGGAAATGGTTCGGGAAAAGGCCTGGAGAAGCGCGCGGCGATTGGCTTCGGAGAGATTAATATCCTTGGAGCTGTCATTGGTTCGTAGAAGCTCCTCCGCGACGCTGCGAATAAACCCGTACTTGGGTGAGCCGGACGGGAGATCCGTCATCAGGCAGAGAGACTGACATAAAGCGCGTTCCACGGAAGCAGAGGGGTCAGAGTTAACAGCAGATCCGGTTGCATGCAAATTTGGTCTCATGGTGGCCGGAATGTTATCCGTCAGAAATTTGTCCCAGGATCGCGTACGCCGCTCGCGAATTCTCCCTCCATGCAGCGAAGACGCCGTGGACGGGTTACACAAGATCGTAGTTGCTTCGGTCGACCATTTCTTATCCGAAAGCTTTCCTAAGAGAACGATGATGCTGTCAAGATGAAGGCCGATTAACGGAAATTGTCGGAGGTAGGTGAGAGGCCATGAGGACGCAAGAGGGAGGAGGAGAGTGGCCATGGTGGAAAGGAGGAGAGCCGGGAGAAAGAGAGGCAAGGTGACGAACGACAGCATCTGCATGGTTGAGAAGACGAAAGGAGTTCCGAGCTCGTCTGCCGCCTGATGCAGGCAGCGATAGAAATATTCCAACATCTTCAGGAGCACGAGTTTCTAAGTTCGAGGTAATGAAAGGCGAGCTACGTTGCCAGTTCTAGGCTGCTCGGCGGAAAGGTGCACGCGCGCCAAGTGGAAAAACGGGGAAGCGCGATGAATCTGACATTTTGTGGATCCGCACAGGCAAGCTAAGTGATAATCCCGAGAAGAAGTCACGGCTAGACGGGCAGCTACTAGTGTTGCGAACCTCAGAAACTTCAGCGGTAGAGTGTTTATCAAAACGGTTGTGACGTATTAAAGTTAGATAACCGCGTGGTATAGTGTGGTGGAAGTTCGGACAAAGGCAGTTCATAACTGTATGTTCCACGCCCTAACTCGTAGTTATCTAGGTTGGGATGAGCCGCGCCATAGTGAACTCTCTCTATGACACGCCCTGGGCTGGATGCGAGTAAATTGCAGGAAGACACACATCTGGGGGTGGATTCCAGGTCACGACAGGTCACAGGGCTCCAAGGTGTGGTTCAGGCCTGGGAGGGAGGCGAACCAGAGCAGGGCTCTCGATAAGCCTAGGGTATCCCGTTAGGTCACGGAATCGGCCGCGGGAATACCCGTTAGCGGAAGGAATCATCGAAAAATTACCCGTTAGCATACGGATTCGTCGAAGAGCTACTCTTGGTTTAATACTAACATCCTTGAATGCAAATGGCCTCGGCCACGGCTAAGGAAAATCCATCGAAACCCTAGGGACTGTATCTCGCGCATACTCCACCTCAGGCAGTTGGAAGAGTAGAAGAACTCTTTGCTTCGTGGAGGAAGTTGGAAAAAGTAGAGGGGAGGGTGGGAAGGGGCGAACAGATCTCCTACTACAAATGCACTTCGTACGGAATCAAATAAAAGTAAACCGCAATGTCAAGGAATTTCACGAAAAGTAATCCCTAAGCCAGACGGAATTAAAAATGTTCACTATGCGAAAAAACGGAATCAGGTAGGAAACAACTCTTAATTTCGAGACATTAAGGGTAATTACCCTATTAGCCAGAGCAGAAAACCAGAGTCTCGGGAATCTGGTTCGGCATGAGGCTTTCGGCTTTGCTTCGGTGGCCAGTTGTGGTGTGGTCCGTTGTTTTCCTCGTTCGGTTCCCAGGTTTTTGGTAAAGCTGCAATAGGTTGGTGATCGACTGTTATGCCCCAGTTCATTGGTTGTGGCTTGCCCTGGGTTGCTGAACCTCTCCAATTTGCCCGTCGGCTTGTGACTTAGACCTCTGTGCTTTGCTTCCAAGCTTCTGTCCCATCCCATCAGCTCGTCGATGCATCGAGTCTCTACCAGGCCACACGTTAAAAGAAAAATCACCCTGACTTGAATGAAAATCCAAAAAGGTTTTTAAGGCAAACGCAGTGTTTTCTAGAGCTTTGTTCAAGAAATCCCTAAGAGAATCACGGGGATTTATGTACTGACCTGTAGGAGTCGGGGGCGGTTTTGAGGGGGCTCGGACATGTAGTTAGCCTCAAGCAAGGGGGTGTAGGAATCTGTCAAACTTCCCGTTCCCTTAGCCCCACTCTGCTCTTCCTATTTTCCCTTAGTTTAGCGGGTGGTTTTAAAATGAGCTGTCAGGAACAATTGTTCACGCCACTCAAACTCGCCCCATCCCTCCCATCAAACCCCTTTTCTTCCCAGCCACGTGGCCTAAGTATAACACCTTCACGTGCGTTATTCATCTACAGCATAGGTGCTGGTGAGGGTGCGTGTTTCCCACCCCGAAGTCGCCCACTCGCACCCTCACTATCTTGTCCAGCAAAGATGGGTTATAACCTGTCAGGCCATTTTTAGCACGGACCCTGAAGAATCAGAGTAAATGTTTTACGATGTCAGATTTTACAGGGCGATTTTTCGAGGGGCTCGGATCGTACGAGATGGCGAAAAACCTAGCGAGAGCCCTGGTTATCACGCTGCGCGGTATTGCATGCATAATTATAATACCAACCTCTCGAGTCTCCCCTTCAAATGTATAATCACGCTGCGCAGTATTGCGTGCATACTTATTTCTATATCCTTCCGTCATTTCCATGCCCATGTCGCGCTTCAGAAATATGTTCATCACGCGATCACGCACGCGGCGTCGTTTATAACTAGTTTACCGAATCATATTTCCTTCTTTCTGTACGACTAGTTTTCGGGCCAGAAAAGTTTATGTAGGCACATCAGCTTCCCTGGTATCAGGAAAAAATTACCACTTGTAGCATAGCAGGAACAAAAAAAGGTGCCATTAGAGATACATGTCATATTCCCTTAGCACCCGGAGGCCGACTCGGCAGATTTCCCTTATAACGAATATTGGCCGTACGGTAGGGGCAACGTGGACTATGGGGTTCTCCCAGGAAATGGGGCTGTACATGGGTGGCTTGACTGGCGTATGCAGCGACAGAGGAAACATCGCCACGCCGCAAGCCTCGTCATCTGTGTTTCAACGCTGCGTTTCAAGTGAATTTCAGAATTTACTCCAAATGTGACAAACATGGACAGCAATCAAGCAACATACAGAATGAACTCGACATAAACAGCACTCGACACTAGACGCGAGTCGAAATTATACAGCGACCGTAAACTTTGCTTACGACGGCCGACAGTGCCCAACTGTTTGATGCGCAGTACAGCACACGCGCCGCTATGGTCATAGGCAAAGTACATGCTTTCCCGCGTCTTCACATACACGCTCTACGACATAGTCTCGCAAGACCGAAATGCATCATCAATTGCCTAGAACCCGCGATACGTAGCCGACTGGGCGCCAAATGTCATCCACTCGCCCGCGTCGGGATATCCGGTCATAATCGCCGTGGCGCTGCGAACATGAGTGAGATACTCTGCCTCCGCCGTGCTGGGCGCATTGTTAGTGTCCAGTGGGGGGGATGCGCGCTCCAAACGATCAATAACCGCAGGATCGCGGATGTCGAAAAGCACCCGGAGATCGCGCGGAGCCAAGCCAATGGACTTGGCATAGCCGATGAGCATCTTTGTCGCCATGCGCGACAGATTGCGTCGGTTCCGCGCTGAGTCGTTCGGACCCGGGGGGGGAGGCGTATTCGCCCACTACGAATCCCGCTGGGCCGGCCCAAGCGGCTCTACAACAAGGGGATCCACCCCGATTGGATCGCTTGTCTCATCGTCACGCTCGGCGGGGACGAATCGAGCGGCAGAACTCATGTCGCCCGGGCCGAATGGCAAGGCCAGCATGATTTGCTGCACCGGCTCGATCTCTGACTCTAGCTGCGGCTCCTGCTCTTCAGAAGTCGCGCCGAGGAGCGGTAGCAGCGGCTGCCAGGTGGCGGGCAGCATTCGCGTCCGCCAAAAGCACTTCTGGATGGTCGCGGTGTCCAAGCCAAGAAACGCATCCGACACCCATGTCACCACCTGCCACATCTCGGGCTTCCACTTCAGAACAGCGGCGACGGTAACGCCCGGGATCTGCCAGTGTGCGAGAACTGCCTTAAGCAGCTCCACTTTGCAACGGGCCTTCATAGCGGCGATGAGACCCTGGTCCAGAGGCTGAGTGAACGGGGTCGTGTTCGGCGGCAAGTACACGAGGCGCACGTGCGAGAGAGCGCGCGTCCGAAACCCGCAGATGTTGGCTGCCGTCGCGAGAGGGGATTGCAAGAGGTGACTCGACGCGTTGTCGAGCATGACGACGATGCGGCGTCCTTCCGCCATGCAGCACGCATTAACGTGCTCGAAGGACGCAGTGAAAACCTGCGCGGTGCGTATAGGATAGACTGATGTGTTATTACAGTGTTATTTGTATCACGCGCCACTTATATCATCTTTCATGACTGGACACGGTGCATGCAAGCGACTGGGAGCGAGGCCCATACCTCCGCCGTCATCCAACCGGAGGTGTTTGCGCGCCAGTAGCAGTACTTAGCATGGTCGAATTGCTGCTTTGCGAAGCAGCGGGGACGCTCATACTTGTGAATGACGAGCGGCTTGAAAAGTTTCGAGCCGTCCGCATTCACCAGCAGCGCGACTGTAAGCCGGTCCTTGCATACCTTTTTTCCTGGGGTAGGGTCGATGCAGAATGTGTGATCGGGGAGGAGACTGTAGTAGACGCAGGTCTCGTCGAAGTTGAACAGGTTTTTCGGGGTAAGGCCAAGCTGGTCGCACAGCCTCGGGAAGTGCAGATGCGCGGTCAGAGCGGCGCCCTCGTCGGCAGACTTCGCTTCGCCGCTCATCTTACGCCACTTGAATCCCATTCGGCGCAGTGCTTTCTGTACCCATCCAACAGAGGCCTTAAAGCCCGCGGCTAAAATAGCAGACCTAGAAACCACTTGAATTTGGTGCTCTGAAATCCGTCTAAGTCTAGAATGGAAGGCAGCCTTGAGTTCAAGCCTGAACAAGAAAAGTGCGTCGAAACAAATTCTAGTCGAGCTTGCTGATTGCAGGAATGGTGAAAGAACTCGTTTTGCTGTTTGTTGCGACACGATCATTTGGATGCGAATTGCGCAAAAACACTGTGTGCATCGCACGGAGTTTCTACGACGGGTTTGGGCGAGCAGCTTGCGACGAGGAAATACAGACGCTTTTTGACTGGGGAATTCAAGTGATTACCAGGTCTGCAATTCCAGAATCAGCGACTGTTCGCCAAAAAAACACTGTTCTTCTCGCATTTTCACTGTTCACGGATCCACGAATTCGGTCGCACGACGCGTATTGCACTGTTCACCGAATGGTTTCGTGCAAAAACTGTCGCCAAACCGCCACGGTCAGATTCCGCTTTGCAAAACGAAATGTTTTTATTATGTTTCGTTTACTCTAAAGATGAAGTCATGTGCCAAGTTCAAGAGCAAATTAAACAGCCTTCTTGATTGCTATTATAGCCACGGGCTTTAAAGTCGCTGGGCACGTTACACTCCGGAGCTAGCTGTATCGCGCGCTGCTGGATTAGAGCCGTCGAAACTGGCAAGCCCGCACCATTCGTGATTTTCAACAATGTTTTGAGTAGGGCTTCTAGTAGAGGCCAATGTGGGTTACGCACCCTTTTAAATTTGGCGCGTTCGGGCCCGATGGCCCGCCACTTATGTTCGGTTTGCAGAACTCGCCCGACTGTGCTGCGATCCGGCCACAGTCCGTATCTGGTGTGGCACTAGCGCCCAATGTCTTCGAGCCGTAACGTGGGGTTCTTCTTGGCGTATTGGCAGATTGCAACCTTCTGGCCGATGGCTAGCACAACGCGGCGCAAAGGTGCCATGTGGACGACTTTGTGTGTTTGGCGGGCTCGTTCCTTGTGTCGTGAAGAGGTCGCTGTTTGGGGCGTATAAATAACCCCGAGGTGTCAGAACTGCTGGCGGGGGGAACGATGTTGGGACCCCTCTGCTGCTTCCGTGGCGAGCTCGTATAGGCAGTGGGCGGTCGGATTTTCCAAGGGCAACCCCGACGGATTCCGTTGGACTGATTGGCGCAATTTTACTGGACCGCATACGTACAGCTCGTATCTAGCGCATCATGTCGATTTTTGCGTCGGCATTGGTTGGCGAGCCTGACACGTCTGGATTTTTTTGCCTCGCCGACCACTAGGTGTGGTCGCTTTGGAAACACTAGAGCCATCCGATTGGACGCCATTGTCAGAAACCCAGTCACTAACCACTGGGTTAAAAGGGCTTGTTGAATAGCGGGTAAGTGCGCCCATAGCCCCCCAGGCTCTGCACCTGTGGCCCTTCCCCGAGAATCTCAAGGGCAATCCCAGCGGGTCACTCAACACCCCCCCCCCCGCTGGGATAGGTGGAAGACACGAGCGCCTCTGCAGCGCTGGCACTGGGAGTTGAACCCAAGACCTTTGGCTCTGATACCATGTCAGAAACCCAGTCACTAACCACTGGGTTAAAAGGGCTTGTTCAATAGCGGGTAAGTGCGCCCATAGCCCCCCAGGCTCTGCACCTGTGGCCCTTCCCCGAGGATCTCAAGGGCAATCCCAGCGGGTCACTCAACAGCCATTGGATTACCCAAATTGACTGTCTATATTACTCTTAAGTTGAGACGGGTTTACTTTGCGTACAAGGAGAGGCCCTTAAGGATAAATTGCATATGGAATACTCCTGGGCGTAAAAGGGGGTCGTCCACAAGGCATATGACATGTAATCAGTCGTACAGTAGAGTAAGTACGATATATAATTCAGTAAATTGGCCATAAAGGACGCCGCGTGCGCGGTCGCGCGATGAACATATTTCTGAAGCGCGACATGGGCATGGAAATATCGGAAGGATATGGAAATAATTGTGCATGCAATACCGCGCGCGCGATATTACTCTCCTCCCCTTCTCTCTCCCATACTGCGGTACCTCTTTTCCGAAGTTGTACAGCTGTATGCTCTAACGCCAATAGCAGCAGCTACCACTGTCAGCAATTTCAGTTTTAGAGAAGAGACCAAATTCACAAAGCCCTCTGGTAGCGCCGTAACGCGTCCTAACTTACTATCCACGGCCTATCGTCAGAGACTAGTAGGTTGCGTCGATATTTCGACGGACGAGGTTCGTGACCTTACTATTGAGTCCATGTTAGAGCACGGTCTTTCATTTCAAACATGTTAGTAAAGACTTGTCGAAGCGAAGTCCAGTTCAGTAGAGGGCTCAAGAAGCCATCCAACTTTCCCTCGTCTCTTGCACCCCTCCCAACCCCCATCTAAGCCTGAAGATTTCAGACATATCCTTCAAATCGTGATTCTTCCTTTACAGAAACGGCAGGGTAGGACCAGCCCCTCGCAGCTCACAGGCGATTTTTCCCGTCTCCGTCACGAGAAGGCTGGCCCCTCTATCCAGCTACTCGCGGAACCTTCGTCATCGACAACGAAGGACGCATCCGAGTCCAACCGTGCCGGCATCGAGCCATGACCTTCCTTGTACCGCGTCCTACATTGGTCCTGGCTTGAAGCGGCAGCAGTAGCGTCGACGTGGGGACGAGGGGTGCCGTTTCTCGATCCGAGAATCTCCTCTCTCTGCTGCCTTAACTCTTCAACCGCGTCGCCGTCTCTGTCCTCCAGACTCAGCTCCGTGGCGTAGTGAAAGCTCCTGATGGCGCCCTCTTGAGTCACATTCACGTAATACGGAAACGTTTCTCCCTCTTTAGTCACATTCACATAACACGGAAACCTTGCGAGGTGGTCTCCCAGGTACACGATGCGGTTCCTGCTGACGTCGTCGTCGAGACAGTTCGTCTTCAGCGGCTCGAGGCGGATGCCGCTTAACGAACCGCGGACAGCTCTGCTGCTTAGACGGTGCTGCGCGGCCACCATGACGGGCGAAGATGAGTTACTGGCTGAAGGTTCGTCAACCATTGTTGCGAGACTGGCTGGACTGCACTAGATCGACACTAATCTGAAGTGGAATATTCTGCGTACTACTAGTCTTTGTGGAACAATTTGCGTTTCTAAAACGATGGTCGCGTGTGCTACGAAATAAGTTGCTGCTCGCAAATACAGCGCAGGTGAACATATACATCTTGTTGTATCTGTGGCCGAAGTCAGCAATCCAACGAGAGGTTGAAAGCGATCACTTGCATGGACTAGTAGCCGCACTGTTGCTGTAAGGAGTTTCTTTTTTCCCGACCGCAGACCCACCTGCACCAGTTGCTTGCGGTGACTGCGCATGCGGCGTACGCAGAAGAGAAGACGCTACTAGGCACCGTGTACTAATCTTTCTGTGTCAGGTATGTGGCCCACCCCCTACTACTGTACCAGTTTTGCAGGCGCGGTGGAGGGAAGGTTTGCTGTGGTTCTCTGGATGTGGCTACCCTTCGGCCGTTCACCGCATGGAACCACACTGTACTACTATGCTGTCTAACTAGAACGATCTAGGGAGAATTCTGGAGCGACTGTTAGACCCTCGGGTTGTGCTCTAAGATCCGAGGCTGGAAAAAAAATCGCCTCGGGTCTTCCGAAAACTGACTGCTCCAGCCAGTCAGCTGTCAAACCGAACAGCTAATAATTTCGTTCAAATGAACTTACACCAATCATAAACTCGCACATTTCTGGTGGACTCGCAAAGTTCGGCCAGTATAGTCGCAACCCTCCCTTTGCGACTATTTGCGACTTTGCAGCCGCTACACTGTCAAGAATATAAAACCCGCAGTTAGGTTGTGACAACCCGCGACTCCTTCGGCCGTGGGTTGACATCGGGTCTGACGCTCGCTCCAAAATCGCCCTCATACCTGTAAATCGTCAATCCTGACAGGGTCTGACCCAGAGGGAAGGCTTGATCGAAAGCAAGCACGTGGTGCTGCCGAGTGGGTTTCGCGTTCGTGGTGGGCCTGTTTCGTGTACTGTACTGTATCGACATTTCGCGCGGCTCACGTGCTGCTTCTGTCCCGCTGGCCATTATCGGCGGTCGCCAGAGCGAAACGAGGCTGGCGAAGAGCTAGCAAAGATCGTACAGCAAGGTGGCAGCTCAACGATCACGAGTTACCAGCTAGGTTGGACTTCGCAACAGCTGGTGATCACAGATATGGTATCACAGTCGCCACCGAGCTGAGGATGTTCAGCACCATTCGTCATGGTGGTTGGGCAGGCGGAAGCAGACCGCTACGTCAGGTCTTGTGGACACATGAGAAATATAAAAGTTTCAATCTCCAGTAGTGTGGTGGCATATGGGCGAATGAGTGCGAATAGGTCGCACTTAGGTGTGGTTGCGTAAGTTCCATGTTACTGTACTGTACGATAAACAAAAGTTATTCTGAGGGATGCTACTGTTTGCACATGATTTTGATGGAGGTGGCGGCGGACGCGAGGTATGGGGCTACAGTGACATCCCTCGTGTTATGAGTGTTTAAAGCCCGAACTCAGAATGGTTTGCTATCAAGTTTGTTGGGCTGACCTAGGATCTTTTCAGAAGTTTGTTGGGCTAAGTCCTCGTAACAGGATGCTTGATACACATGATCCCGCTTACAGACATCCGCGCTTGTTGCACAATCACGGTTAAGGACCCATTGCGGTATACACCCTGCTCTTATCCCCTAGTGTATGTGCACAATCGCTGTTCAACATGAAACGACCCACAAGAGTCTACTGTACAAGATAGCGCACAGATTACGCGGCAACCAATAGGATTCCTCCAAAAGATTACGTTAGCGAAAAACAATAGCCTAACGAAGTCACTAGAAAGTTTATCGTCAGCCAACGAGCTAACAACACGACACGTAGATACGGAAGTTTCTAGCATGAACAGATTCATTTGGTCGAATGAATGAACCAAAAAACACGTAACCGTTCGCCAGCCCAGGTCATGAGTCCTCCCCGAACTTCAAATGCGTGGGTTTGAGCCTCGTCTATCCGCCTGACCTCCATTCACACACTGTTACCCCATCCATCTCCGCTTTCGCACCCTCTGAGAACATGTCCGCTCCTCGCTCCCGTCGCCTGCCTCGCCTGCACCGAAGGGCCCAGATTTCGCTCGAGATGAAGCGAGAAATCTGTCGGCAGGCGGAAACTCACCAGTCCTGGCGGCAGGAGGATCTCGCCCGATGGTGTTTCACGAGGTTCGGGATTGTGCCTGACCGCAGCACCGTAGGGAAGATTGTTCGCCAGGCGGACAAGTGGAAAGCCGCTGCTGCAGCACAAAATGCCATCCGCCTTCGTCAGGGTCGGTTCCCTAACCTGGAATTGCGCCCTGAGTGTGGCGTCCCCGACAGTTTCGAATGCTCGATCAGTTGGTGTCATCGCGCCATGCATCGCATGGGATTCCGTAACCTCGCACGCAAGGGCGAGGCGTTCGACGCAGACAAGACAGGTGTCGAGCTGTGTAGGCAGCGCATGCCGGAATTCATAGAGCATATTGGCGTCAATCCGCGCGATCTTTACAATTGGGATGAGACTGCCCTTTTCGCGGGTCAGCAGCCTCGTCGTTCCTGGTCGGATGGTTCGCCCGTCGGTCGCAAGGCTGCAAAGGACCGCATCACGGTGGCGTTTCTATACAACGCAGACGGATCCAGTATGTATCGTCCTCTCATCGTCTCTAAAGTGCGACGGCCGACTGACTACTGCTTCGACCCCGAGCCGTATGTCTACTGGCGCCAAAATCCCAAGGGCTGGATGACTTCCGAAGTGAGTGACGATTTCTTATGCATGTAGCATAGGGTACTGTAATCTCCCCCGGCATGATCACCCTAGGGCTTCTGGAAATTTCACCGAAATTCGTTTGGGTGGACATATTAAAGCCCGAGTCTAGAATGGTTTGCTATCAAGTTCAGGAATCCTGAACTTGTTTTCGTCCAATAGAGGGTAACGTAGTAAATGCAGTTTGAACGTCGCAACTCTCAGGGAACAAGGGGCAGCTTGCGATTGCAGCTCAAAAGGACAAACCCGCAATTACTATTCATCTCAGTATTCTTGATTTTCGCCAACGACCATTCTGAACGCATTTTTGTGGGGGTCTCGCATCACTGTTCGTTCCCCCCCTTCCCCCGCCCCCCACACACTGTTCATGCGCTGTTGAGCTCGGTTCCTGCCGATGAAATTCCGTGCTGCGATCACGGTTTTTCTATTTCGCCAAATTCTGTATTCGTCAGGGGAACTTTGCCGAAATTACTTTTGCCTAATTTTTTTGACACTGTTTTCATGCCCAATATTCATGGTTTTCAACCATTCTAGACTCGGGCTTTAAAGCGAGAGGTTAGAATAGTGACCCCCTTTTCAAGTTGGACCCAACTCGAAACAGTTCAGCTCAAGAGTGTGCTGGTTGGAAACTTGCGAGACAGTTTTTTGTTAGGGGGGCAGTTTGTGTTTCTCTGATAGTTGGCGACAAATTACGAGTGAACATTTTGCATGATTGTCGCAAATCACAAGCCATCCCGCTACCCTGCGAAAGACAAGCTGAAAACATTGATTTTGAGAGCCCAAGGCACGCATTTCCCCCTCGAGTGTCACTTCAAAGTACCAGCAAAATAAAACGTTGCGAGTGAAATACAGAGTGCAAAATACCAAAACCACGACACAGAGAGAGACTCGCAGCGATAGGTGCGGAGAACGGGAGAATGACGGTGAGGAAGAAGTGTTCGGAGCGGGAGCGTGAGATGGAAAGCCCTGGCGAAATCGAAGGGGAGGGGCGGAGATAGAGAGGAAGATGCTCGGAGAGAGAGAGGAAGTGGCGCGGATAGAGAGAGGAAGAGGTGCGGAGAGAGAGAGAGAGGAAGAGGCACGGAGAGAGAGAGAGGAAGAGGCGCGGAGAGAGAGAGGAAGAGGCGTGGAGATAGAGAGGAAGAGGCGCGGAGAGAGAGGGAGGAAGAGGCGCGGAGAGAGAGAGAGAGGAAGAGGCGCGGAGAGAGAGAGAGAGGAAGAGTCGCGAAGAGAGAGAGAGAGGAAGAGGTGCGGAGAGAGAGAGAGGAAGAGGTGCATAAACGAAGGGAAAGGTGATGATGGGGGAGAGGGTGAGTGTAAGTTCAAAGGAGCAAGACTTTCGCCATGCGCCACCTTCTCTTTCACAGCGCAACTCTTTGCAGCTCTCTGCCTCGCTCTCTTTCTCGTCGCGCCGCATTACATTCTCCCGCGGTGCTACACACTCTATCCAGCCATGCTGTTCTCTCTCTCCAACCGCGCTACTCTCTCTCTCTCTCTCTCTCTCTCTCTCTCTCCCATCGCGCCTCTCTCTCTCTCCCCTCGCACTACTATGTCTCTCCCATCTCGCTGCGCTGCTCCCTCTCCCATCGCGCTACTTTCTCTCTCTCCCGCCGCGATACTCTCTGTCTCTCTACCATCTCACCATGCTGCTCTCTCTCTCATCACACTACTTTCTCTATCTCCCGCCGCGCTACTCTGTCTCACTCCCATCTCGCTACTCTCTCTCTCGCACACATCGCGCTACTCTCTCTCACTCTCCCACCGCGCTACTCTGTCTCTCTCCCATCTCGCTACTCTCTCTCTCTCCCCCATCGTGCTACTCTCTCTCTCTCGCCCGCCGCGCTACTCCTTCTCTCTCTCCCATCACGCTACTCTCTCTCTCTCTCTCTCTCTCTCTCTCTCTCTCTCTCTCTCTCTCTCTCTCTCTCTCTCTCTCTCTCTCTCTCTCTCTCTCTCTCTCTCCCGCAAATAGGTTCTTTGTCTCTCCCCCATCTCGCTATGCTGCTCTCTCTCCCATCGTGTTGCTCTCTCTCTTTCCCGCCGCGTAACTATCTCTCTTTCCCTCCCGCCGCGCCACTCTCTCCCTATATCGTTGCGTCACATTTTCCTCACTGTTCTTAGGCACTAAGGCGGAAAAAACAGGGGGTCAACTAGCGGAACTAGGTAGCTACGCGTCTGTTAGTAGACTACAACTAGCCAGGAAATGGACTTTCGCGTAGGAAATGGAGAAGTGCTCTTTGCAGCAGTTATGAACCCAGGCCCAACTTGAAATCCGAGTCGGGCCCAACTGGATCCGAAAGACTCAACCCGTCGCATGCATACGCCATGCCAGAATCGCACAGGGAAACGCTAACCCTGACAAGCATTTCGTGTCAGAAATACAGCTTTGGCACGTCGTGAGTTTCGTCTCGCGACGATCATGTTGGCGGGATCCAATCAGCTTTGAGATCAAACTTCAATTTTCCAACCCGCGTCACTTTGGAACAATAATTTGTCAGCCGAGGTTTCCAAGAGAAGTCACAGGGGGGAGTCCTCTTTCAAGTTGGGCCAGCCTTCACTATTTTACCTTCTCGCTTTAAAGCCCAGGTCC